GGTGTCGCACCGGCTTCACCGACGGGCACACCCCGGGCGTGGCAGGGCACGCACACCTTTACCTGGCCAATGTTCGTGTCGGTGATAGCGCCCTGGCTGCTCATCAGCTTGAACAGCCTGTCCTTCAAGTGGGGTGGCAGGGTCTTTATGTCACCGTGGTAACAGTCCACGTGTCCTGCCAGATAGCACAAACACCTGGAAGGACAAAGACAACAGAAGCCAAGATTATCCTGGAACTGGGTCCCACTTTCCGCCCCTCTCTCAACGACAGACTAATGTCTTATTAGTAGAAAACCCCCTCTTTCTCACCCACTCTCTCCCACACACCTGAAAAAGCATCAACGGCCGAAACACTGCGTTTCTCCTTTTCTAGTTTTCAGCGCAGAATTAATCTCTCCTTGTTTTATTTGCAGCCAACAGGACTCAAAGTCTTTCTGTTCAGAAAGGCTTTTATTTATCAGTTTCTGTGTCTGCTCCATCTTCCAACTTCTGCTGCACTTCTAACCCATTGTATTTCTTAGATGAACTGTAAAGTGCTCCGGGAGGCTACTATCAAAGGAACCTCAAAACATAACGTTTTATACTGACGTTGCTCCCCCACTTGGACAAAAACACACGATGCTGAGATGCTTCAGTCATCCAAAATAAGACATTTTACCAGCCCTGTTGAAATTAGAACTACATCTGTCTACCAAGCAGGGAAGAATAAAACCTCAGGCCAAGAGAAAGCTCTAGGGCAGGACTGCTCCTCTTGCAGGGTCTCCAACCCCCTTCGCTACACAATTTCACTACAAACAGCTGCTCAATTATCTCATTGAGAATTATAAATAAGGAGTACTCCAGAGCAAGTAAGTTAAAAACATAAGTACAGTTACAAACGACAGGAGGCCATGCAGCCTATCTAGCCTGGTAATTAGCAGCTTACTGATCCAAGGATCTCCTCCAGCTGTTAATTTAATTAATAATAATAATAATAATAATAATAATTGCTTACACTTATATAGCACTTTCCTGGACAGTCCACACAAAGCTCTTTACAGGTAATGGGAATCCCCTCCACCACCACCAGTGTGCAGCCCCACCTGGATGATGCGAC